CATCATCATCATTACCCTGTAGCATTATCGTGATTATTGAACCGATTAGTGTTGGGCGTAGTAGGAATATTGGTTGGTGGTCGTAGCAAGGGTTTTATCTCAACCTACAATGAACAGCAATTATAATATAATAATAATAATAATAATAAATAACCTACACATTTAGCGTCAATCATATTGGCATCTCCACTTCTTATGGCAGCATTAGCCTCAGCAGGTGTCGAATAAGTAGCGCGGCCGTATCCTTTATTCCTACCAGTCTCCTTATCATACATGATATCACAATCTATAACACTGCCATAGCGGGATAGTAGGGCTATGAGCTTATCTACACATAGAGTATCGTCATTACACAACCCATCGTAATAATCATTCTACCTTTATCCCCACTGACTGGGATACCACCAATAAAGACCTTCCTGGGATCATCAACCAGACGACTAGGATCCACCCTATGCTCTAAGGAAGGGATATTATCTGGGAACACATGATCGAAAGAGGTAGTATCCAAAGGAGTATATAGTTACTATATCCACTGCCTGCTGCCCTTGTTGGATGTGATAACATGTCGATGCGTCGAGGTGCCGGCCCAGCATTGCCAGCAGAAGAGTACGGCTTCTTACCATCAGCCGCTCGTTTCACATCGATGACCTTCTCCATAAGAACATGGGGGCTGTTGGCCAGACACGTCTGTGACACCAGAAGCATGACGATGAGATGACGTCGTCTATAATCACTACTACCTCCATATCTTGGGGATGTAGGAATGTTATAAAGCCGAAGCCACGCGATCGACCAGTGACGCGATCCATCATGACTATGGAATCCTCAATCTCCCCGAATTGGGAGAAATAAGCATCAATATACTCTTTATCAAGCTCCTGGGGTAGGCCTCCCATGAATATCTGACACGATATCCTCATTCACGTTATCCAGCATGCCTTATGTATAGAAATCAATGAGAGGGTGAACGTAAAAGACTACGTAGAAAACGCTAAATAGAATTATACAGAATACCCTTAAACGACCGTCGTCCCTCCCTTTATACCTTCCTGTCCTCAGCATTACCATATGCCAGACTACTATGAGCTCCCGGAGGCTGCTGCTGATCTGGTTGCTGTGGTCTGGGAAAGGCAGACATGGAGAATATGAGTTGGGAAGAGAGCTATCAAGTATCCCGTGAATAGAGGATAGTCAGACGCGGATGATATATGCAAGAGAGGCTATGAACTTGTGGTACGTGTGGAACCCTAGCACGAACAGGCTATGTTTGGTGGAGTGCTATACAGATCATTTCGGATGGGAAAAGTCTACTCATCAACTAGGCCCTAGTTACTAGACAAGGTTACACCAACTTTTCTGCTCACGGAGCTTTGCCCAAATTTCAATTGCGCGCTCGCCCGCACGCCGAAACCTGTCTCTAAGATTGAGTAATGCCTGATAGACCAACAGTGCTGGTATTCACTGGTTGACTGACAGGTATGGTTGACAAGTTTCCGGGTTTGCTTGGGCGATTCCTGCTCGCTTCAGACGACATGAGCTTTTTTCCTAACCTTTCAGCGTGATCAGTTGCAATTCTTTTTGGGACGTCCCCACCGAAGCTGTGTTGTTCTATTCTGCTTGGCGGAGTTACTTGTAAAGCGGAATTCACCTAATCGATAACGTATAAGCCAATCGGGGTCTTGTTCGGTCCCTGGAAGATGAATGACCCCAGTGTTTTCAAGTGTGGATGAAGTCCTCACCCGGTAACGTATAGACGTGTGTAATCGGATTAGAGTAGAATCACATCATTCACGAATACCATCATCCTCATGAACTGCGATACTTTACCTATTCTGATATCCAACTGTTACTCGAGGGGTTATACTACAGTCATCTAAGAGGATTCCATAATAGGTAGGTTCTCGAATAGGAAACCTTGATTCCATAGCGATATTCATGGACGTTCGTCACTTTCTTCTTCTCGTTACACTGTAGGCGGGCAATTAATCCGATCTATATTATCAATGGGAGAACTACTTGATAGCAAACCATTATGTCCGTGCAAGGCCTTCGTTGTCCAAGAGGCTGCTCGAGTAGATTCGAGGTCCACGAACCGATTCTCACCGAAGTAGCATGATTGCAACGTGTTTTGTGTCGTCAGCTATCAGGATACATACACCATCCGGAGAGTCGTCTTGTTGACTGTGTGAAGGCCGAGACCGCCAAGGACAGTATGTATGATAAGACATTCAACCAAGGATTGTACTTGACTAGCCTCCACTCTCGACTGAGTCGTCTTGTTAGTACTCATCAGCGTAGTTGATGTCATTGTATGCTACTATTATCACATCATTCTCCCACCGCCTTTTCTGATGTGTTGGACTATGGTCGTCGTCGTCAGCTCACGACAACAGTCATGATAGAAGTGGAATTGTAAAGGTTGGGAAGGGTAGTTCGTAGGAAGGCCGAGCTTACTGGCTATCATCCGTCATGTAGCGTAACGGAGGGTATTGATGGACCAACACTTGCGTGGATCAGGGAGTGGCCGCCACGTTGCAGGGAGTGGGCGCCACGCTGACCCTTCAATATGGTCATACTTCGAGGCTACAAGCTCTTGCCATATCTCCAATACGGTCTTCGTCTGACGTAGAGAATACAAAATTCAGCACTAGTTGGCGCTGAGTGAAGCCATGGAGCCTCGAACCGTACCTTACCTCAGTCATGGAGATCATGTCTACCGAATCTGAATCGATCAGCTTGGCGTGCGCAAAGTCCTCAAGCTGACAATGACCAACTTGGCATCGATACGGCTACTACTGATGGATGAGAAGCTGCGAAGATCTTGAATGTGTTCGTTTTAGCGGTCTATATTGTGTGTAAATATGAGTGACGATCTGCTACAGTTCACAGCAACATCAGAACAACCTGTTATTGCTGCCCCTGCGAGCTCACAATCGGCTGTTGCTCCTCCTCCTCCCCCTCCATCATCATCTCCCCCCTCTACTCCGGTATCCCACTCTCCCTACTGTATGAACATCATGCGTCTATCATCAGGTATTATCTACCGCATCACCAGTAGCGTCATCAGCATCAGCAGCAGTGGCTCCATCACCTAAAGCCTATGATGGTGCTGCAACTGGTGTTGATCTTGTCCAGTCCCCTACAGAGGACCTTCCCACTACGATAAATGGATCAGATAAAGAGAGAGTGATAATCACGGGGCGGTATTCTCTACCCTTAGTCTCAGCTGTTCCATCCAACCGGAGCCTCGGGACCAGAATTCCTTCTTCGACATCCGTGATGGTCTTTCTGTCTTTCAGTGTTCATCTGTCGATAGTTATACCGAGTTGTCTAGGAGTGAGGA